GCCCAGGCCCCCGCCGCCGGGCTCTCCGCTCGGCCAAGGGGCGCCCGAGCCGCCGCGACGCTCGCCTGTAAAAGTTTCCCCGCCCGGGCTCCCTAGGGTAAGCGGCGAGGGCGCGGGGCCCGAGGAAGGCAGAGCGTCGGGAGCCGGGCCGGAGGGGAGCCGGCCGTACCGGGCCGCTCTGCCGGAGGAGCGGGCTCCGCGGCCCGGGCGCCCTGGCGGGGGATGGTCGGGGGCGCTGGCGCCGAGGCAGCGCTGACCCGGGCCTCTCGGGCCCGGCTGCCCGCACGGCTTTCGAAACTGCCCCCGGGGCCGGCCCCGAAGGTGGAGCTGTGGGGAGCAGGAAGGGCGACCCGCAGCCCACCTGAGCGCGCCGGGCCCGGCTCGGCCCCCGGCCTCTATCGGTGCCGGTACTTTTCCGCTTGGGGCCGGGGCGAGCCCTCTGACCTCAGGAAGCGCCTGCCGGGGCCCCCGCTGGGGGCGGGATGGGGAGAGAATTCCAGAGGCGCTGGGTGCTCCCGCCTCCCCGCGGTCTTTCGGGGGCCGCCGCCGGCTCGCCCACTCCGCGGCCGGGGAGGGCCTGTGCTCCCTCCGGGGGAGGGGAGGAGCGGCTGTTTCGCGTGGCGGAGGGGATTATTCACCCCCGGGGCCTCGCCCCCGTCCGCACACCTGGGCGGCGAGAGACTCAGGTGAGGGATCCGCGGGCGCTGGGAGGCTGGCTCAGGACGGTTCTGGGAGGCCTGGCCGAGGCCCCTGCTGCCCCCGTGGGGTGGCTGGACTGAGGGGCGGCCTGCTTACCAGACAGGTCTTACAGCAGTCACTTGTCAGTTCAGTACCTGCTTTCCCTCCATTCCCTACCCTTTGCCCCTGGGGATGCAGACCTTCCTCCAGAGGGTGTTGGAGTTATTTCTGCCTTGGGAAGTGCTAGGGTGATGTGGCCTAGCGAGGGCTGGGCGGCTGCTGTCCAGGTGTGGACACAGCATGGAAGAGTAGCCAAGCCTGACCTGTCTCAACCGTAGCCGCCCAAGTTTTACTATTTACTATATTGGACTTCTACGTAAGATTTGATTTTTAGAAAGTGATTCTGTGACTTAAAAGAAAAAAGTTTGGAAACCTCTGGTCTAGCAGTTTTTACTACCAAGGAAACTTGAGGCCCAGAGAGAGGAAGTTACTTGTTTAAGATCACTCAGCAAATGAGTAGTTGAGTGGGGACTGGAATTCAGAATTTCAGCAGCGCCTTCAATGCCGGTTACAGGACCTGACTTGGTGTCTCTTTGCTGAAGAGTGTTGATCAGTTTTCCCAGGCAGCCCTGTCCACGTCAGACCCCCAGTGCCTGGGAAACAGCAGCCAGATGGGGGTAGGTTCAGTTTGGGTGCCTCAGAGGGGCTGTGTCCTGTGTCGGGAGATTCCTGGGGCTGGAGAAGCGGGCTTTGATAAAAGCCAGGAAGACCACCCACAGCTCTCCCTGTGGCCACAGCCTGGAGCTGAGTCCCATGTGAGAGGGCATCACAGGAGGCTAGAGATACAGCAAGCCTCTGGGTTTGAGCTAAACTAGGACTCAGAGGGTGAGTCAGAGTCTGGGATGGGGGTGGGGAGAATCCCATTCATTCATTGTTCTCAGTGCCTGCTCTTTTGGGAGGTGGTCCTCCTTCCCTCCAGGATGCTGAGGCAGAACTATCTGGGGGTTTCAGGCTCTGTGGAAGCCATATCCACTGCTCACCATGGCTGGGGATGCTGGGCAGAGGAAGGCTGGTCCTTTCTTGGGGGATTGTTTGGTTGGGCCTGAAGCCTGCTTTCTTTTTGTGTGCTGCGAGGTGATAGTTGATTGTCTTTAATGCCAAGCAGCTGCAGCTCCATCCACAATGTGCCGGAACCTGGGCTAGAATCAGATGAACCCAGTCTTGATTTGGGGGCTACGTGGCTCACAGCTCTGTCATCAGGAGGTGGCCTGCTTGGCATCTGGACCAGGCAGCTATTGTGGGAAGAAGGGTAGAAGAGGCTTTGTTGCTGTCAGGTTCTGCCCCTAGGGCCCCACATCCTCAGTTAAATGAGAGTCTTGGGGTCTCTTCATCCCCTCGGGCCAGATATCTGGCTGCCCAGCCATTGCTCAGACCAGCTTTCTGGACCTTGGTCGCCCAAAGCATCATGGGGCTGTAGCTTCTGGCCTGTCCGGGAACCCTGTGGACTCTGCCCATCAGGGTGAGGAGGAGCTGCATTGTGGATGCCTCCTGCCATCAGCTGTCAGGTTATTTTGGTGTAAACTGAAAATACTCCAAGAACTGTGTGTTGAGTCTCTCCAGTCTGCAGGGTGGGACCACAGCAGGAACAGGCAGGGAGGCTGGTTGTGGCTGAGGGCAGCCCCTAGGGTTCCCAGTGGTGAGCTGCCTGCCCATCTCCCCAGGGCCTGGGTGAGCCAGGGAGCTTTGTTTTGCCATCCAGCAGAGTGGCCTCCTTTGGGGCTGGACCCTAGGAGTGGTGGGTGCATCCCAGGCCCTGTGGACAGTGCTCTGCTCAACAAGCTTGGCACTGAGGTGGGATACCTCTTGCAGCCCCACTGGGACCTTCCCCAGCTCCTCCCCACCCCAAGGGGCTTGGCTTCTGGCTAGTCAGGGGCCCTATGTGGGGACAGTTATGTGGCCCTAGGCAGAGAGGTCCAGCTGTCTGTTTGCTGAAGGAGGAAAAACAACATGGGGACTATTGATTCAGCCTCACCTTGGTGCTCCTGGCTCAGCAGCCAGTGTTTGCCCTGGCTGCCCGGGCTCAGATTACGCAAGGCTGGTGGGCGTGGAGCAACCAAGGGGCTGCCGCAGGCCTGCAGGCCAGGGCTGGGTGGCCCCAGCATTTCCCAGGAAACAGCGTAAAAAGGACCCTGACTTTGCTGATGGTCGCCTGTTTGGGCCATAGAGGGAAGGTGAAGCCACTGCGATCCCCCATGCTCAGGCCCCAAAGCCCCCATCCCACCTTAGATTGCCCACTCTTTCTTACCAGGGACTGTGGGTCTTTGCAGATAACTCCCTACTGGGTCTGCTTTGCTGAACCAGGAAACTCTAGTGAGCTGTGTAGGTGCTACTCATTAAAAAACGAAAAAGCCAACATTGTAATCCTTTATAATATTTTATAGACCTGGGTAATTAGGAAAATATACAACAGCACAAAGAAGAAAACAATTACTCATAATTCTCACCATCTTGAGAGAACCATTGTTAACATGTTAGCATGTGTCCCTCCAGATTTTGCTCTGTGGTTATATATAAGCATACACGTATAAATAGTTTTTCAAAAACCAAGAGGGATCGTGTGTATCTATTGCTTTATAACCCATCTTTTTGACTTTGATTCTGGCAGGCATCTATTCAGTTCTTGCTTCTGGTTTTAAGTGACTCAAACCTTGTTACTTTTTATCTTGCTCCTGGATTCTTGTGTGTGGAGGGTCCATTTGTCCACCTACCTGATTGCCCTTGAGGGGCCGGATTTTCACCCCTCTCCCCCAGTGCCCCTTTCAGTCCTGGATTGGGCCATGGAGGGGAAGGCATCTTTAGTGTGTGGCTGGGAAGAGACTGACTCTCCCCCTTTTCCTTGCTTGTACCTCTCAGAGCCGGCAGCCCTCATCCTCCCCGCACAGCCCTGCCTGTCCCGGCCCCATGCCCCCGCCAGCCAGCCCCGGGCCACACGCAGTGAGCAGGTACGCGACAGCCGAGGCCCTGTGACCAGGCCAAGGAGACGGGGGCTCCGGGGTCCCGGACACCTGTCCCCCCCCATGGAGCTGAGGCCCTGGTTGCTATGGGTGGTAGCAGCAGCAGGAGCCTTGGTCCTGCCGGTGGCCGATGCCCGTGGCCAGAAGGTCTTCACTAATACCTGGGCCGTGCGCATTCCTGGAGGCCCAGCCGTGGCTGACAGTGTGGCACACAAGCATGGCTTCCTCAATCTGGGCCAGGTAGGTGTTCTTCCCTGCTGCTGGACTAGGCTTAGGACATGATCGGTGGTGGGGCCAGTGAGGGCAGGGCACCGGGAGCAGGAGCTCTGGGGCTTGTCTTCTCAGGGGCATCTGGGTAGGAAGCGTGTTCTGGCCAGGGATGAGAGCCGTGTTTTGTCCTGCCCTTGGGCTTCTAGCTCAGTGGACCAGCATATCCCAGGGAGGGTGAGCCCCCTTGGTCCCTGTGCCTCTTGCTAGGTCCTGGGCAGGGAGCAGGTGCCCACCACCCTCTGCCGTTGTGAGCCTCCCCTTGCAGCCGGTTGTCCACCCCCGTCCCCTGCCTCCCCAGGGACTGACAGATGGAAAGCCCAGCTCAGTCTCCCTGCTCTGTTGCAGATCTTCGGCGACTATTACCACTTCTGGCATCGAGCAGTGACAAAGCGGTCCCTATCACCTCACCACCCGCGGCACAGCCGGCTGCAGCGGGAGCCTCGAGTGAGTGCAGCCCCAGCCCCTCCTGCTGCCACCCTTCCCTTTCTGTTTTCAGGAGGCCTCACTCTCCCTCCCCGCTCCTCCACCCACACCATCTCTCCCTCACTCCCTCACAGGTAGAGTGGCTGGAGCAGCAGGTGGCAAAGCGACGGACCAAACGGGACATATACCAGGAGCCCACGGACCCCAAGTTTCCCCAGCAGTGGTACCTGGTACGTTGTCTCCCCAGCTGTATTTATCCATCCACGGAGGGGTCCTGCTGGTGGATGAGGCTGACTTTGAGGCTTCCACTCAGTCTTCATCTGTCTGCTGAGTAATCTTTCTCTAGCCCATTCTTCTAAGCCTGAGGAGTGCCCTTCCAGAGTCCTTTGTAATTCCGTGGAGCCCAGACAACCAGTTGTGGCATTTCAGGAGCAGGGGCGGGTGGAGAAGGAGTTTTTGGGGGTGACAAAGGGATTCTTCAGGGTTCCCGTAACCTCCCCCAACAGCCAGATCTCATAAGTGCGGGTGATGGGGGTGGGTGTCTCTGCAGTCTGGCATCACCCAGCGGGACCTGAACGTGAAGGACGCCTGGGCCCAGGGCTACACGGGGCGTGGCATTGTGGTCTCCATTCTGGACGATGGCATTGAGAAGAACCACCCGGACTTGGCAGGCAATTATGTGAGGAGATGGGGGTGGGAGGCAGCGATCCCTGGCGAGGGACATCTAGGGATGTTCCTGTTCTGTCAGTGTGGTCAGGCTGTCCCTGATGATGGGCACATCTTTTCCAGGATCCTGGGGCCAGCTTCGATGTCAACGACCAGGACCCTGACCCCCAGCCCCGGTACACACAGATGAATGACAACAGGTAAAAATTGGCAAGTCCTTGGCCTCTGCTTCCCTTCTTTCTTCCACTGAGGCAGCAGGGCCCAGTCTGTGTTAAGACATGCCCAGCCTGAGAGACTGAAGTCTTTTCCACAGTCCCGGTCTGGCTGTAACTCTGAGGGAGGGTTTGATGAGAGCGGAGGTGGCCATAGGCTGAGTGGAGTGTGTAGAGGGGGAACTGTGCACAGACACGGGACAACCGTCAAGGATGGAGCAGCGTGTGACCTTTCCTGCTCCTCAGGCTGCATCTGCCATTCTCTGTCCACTGCTAATGCTGTGCTCTTGGCCCTGACAGGCATGGCACACGGTGTGCGGGTGAGGTGGCCGCAGTGGCCAACAACGGTGTCTGTGGCGTTGGCGTGGCCTACAATGCCCGCATTGGAGGTGCGTGTGGGCTTTGGCCTCCCTGTCTTTGGAAGGACCCTTCGGGTGGGATTCTCCTCTGCTCACTTCCCATCCAGCCACTGTCTGTCACTTTCCCACTCTGGATCCTTGGACCACATGGCTCTTCTTTGGAGGATTCTTAGCAACTCAAAGAGCTGAACCACCTGTGGTGGTGGCCCTGTGCTGCATGGTGGAGGGAGTGTTTCTGAACAGGTGTCTCCCTAAATCTTCACCACCCACTCTGAGTCCTTACATGGCAGGCCTTGACCACCATGGTCCTTTGGGACCCCAGAGACACATCCTAGTCTGGAAGGTGTGGTTGAGGGCCAAGGTGCTCTCTTTTCCCCTGCCCGGGTCTTGTCTTTGAGAGGCAGAGACCGCAGCCGGCTGAGGAGTTAAGGGGCTTACGGTTTCCAAGCACCAGCCTCTGGGTGCAGGGCTGGATGTGCTCCAGGGGCTGCCCCTGGCAGCTGGACCCACGCAGCATCCCTCTCCCCGCCCCCCTCTGCGGCCAGGGGTGCGCATGCTGGATGGCGAAGTGACAGATGCAGTGGAGGCACGCTCACTGGGACTGAACCCCAACCACATCCACATCTACAGTGCCAGCTGGGGCCCCGAGGATGATGGCAAGACCGTGGATGGGCCAGCCCGTCTTGCTGAAGAGGCCTTCTTCCGGGGGGTCAGCCAGGTGAGGTGGGGGTCCTGGCCCAGCCCTGGACACCAGGCCCAGCCTCTGAGGGGCAAGCTGGGTGGCACTATCTTTTCCCTACTTTCTTCTTTGTGTTTTTCTGTACCTGTTTACTTAGTCTTGTGTTTAATTTTAATTTTACACAGAGCGTGTTTATTAAAATGTTAAGGGATTAGAAGCACAGAAAAAGAATAAAGTAAATAAAAATTGCCCATAATTCCGCTGTCTGGAATCACCACTGAGCATTTGGGTGGTGGTTTGGGTCAATTTTTTTTATGCAAAAACAGATAAGACACACCAGGGATCTCACAGGGGAATGGGGGTGGGGGTGGATAGAGGGTCCCCGGAGAATGAGGCTCCAGTCTTCCCAGTCTCCAGCAGTGTCTTCCTGCCAGGCCTCCCCCAAGTCCTGTTCTCTTGAGTGACCCCAGCCCACTGTGTCCACAGGGCCGTGGGGGGCTGGGATCCATCTTTGTCTGGGCCTCAGGAAATGGGGGTCGGGAGCACGACAGCTGCAACTGCGACGGCTACACCAACAGCATCTACACGCTGTCCATCAGCAGCGCCACGCAGTTCGGCAACGTGCCCTGGTACAGTGAGGCCTGCTCGTCCACACTGGCCACGACCTATAGCAGTGGCAACCAGAACGAGAAGCAGATTGTGAGTCTTTTCCCGGGCAGAGGCTGGGGAAATGGGGCTGCCTGCTGGCTCTGCCCAGGGCTCTCTTTCCAACCCCATCTGCCTCCCACCTGCGTGTGGCTGGGTGGTAGTGGCTAAGGCATCATGGAACGGGAGTTGGGGGGCTCTCTAAGACCCTTGGGGGCTATGGAGCTATTGCTGAAGCCCCTGAGAAGTGTATACTCTCCCTAAAAACATGCATTGCTCTTAATGATCTCCAGCCTCTAGTTCAACCCCCTTGTTCCTTGGGAAGCAGGCCCGGAAAGGGCCAGGCATTGGTCTGTCCACAGCAAGTTAGCAAGGCAGAAGCTGGGACCAAGGTGTCTTGGCCCTGGCTCCCAATTTATGGTGCTCAGGGCCTGTGGGCAGAGGGAGGGCAGGTAGGTGGCCTCTGGGGCCTTTCACCCTCACAGGCCCAATATCATTCTGGTAGGTGACCACTGATCTGCGGCAGAAGTGTACAGAGTCTCACACAGGCACCTCAGCCTCAGCCCCCTTGGCAGCTGGCATCATCGCTCTCACTCTGGAGGCCAAGTAAGTGGTAGGGCTGAGGGGCAACCCTGTCCCCACTAGCGCCCTCTGCTGGACAGCCCTGGGTCTCCAGCCTTTCTCCAAAGAGATTGAGCCCTCAAGCCTCTCCATTGCTCCTTTGCAGTAAGAACCTCACCTGGCGGGACATGCAGCACCTGGTGGTACAGACCTCAAAGCCAGCCCATCTCAATGCTAACGACTGGGCCACCAATGGTGTAGGCCGCAAAGGTGAGGACAGGGTGGCCAGTGGGCTGGATGGGCAGTTGGTGGGGGGCATTCTGTGCCTCCTAGCTGACTCTGCCTTCCCTGCCCCACAGTGAGCCATTCGTATGGCTACGGGTTGTTGGATGCAGGTGCCATGGTGGCCCTGGCCCAGAACTGGACGACAGTGGCCCCCCAGCGGAAGTGCATCATCGACATCCTCACTGAGCCCAAGTGAGGGCTGGACCCTGGCTGGGAGGGGGCAAGTGGGACCTGAGGGTCGCAGGGGTGCCCACTGGTCCCCCTGGGCCAGGCTGATAGACCATAATGCTGCTGTCTGCACAGGGACATTGGGAAGAGACTGGAGGTGCGGAAGACCGTGACTGCCTGCCTCGGGGAGCCCAGCCATATCACACGGCTGGAGCATGCTCAGGCGCGGCTCACCCTGTCCTACAATCGCCGCGGTGACCTGGCCATCCATCTGGTCAGCCCCATGGGCACCCGCTCCACCCTGCTGGCCGCCAGGTGCTTACCCTCCCCACCGCCTAGCTCGTCCTCTCTCTTACCCTACCTGCACTCATTCATTCATTCACTCACACAGTCCTGACGGTCACCAAATACATACTTCTTCACGGGGGCACTGGTGGCGTTTTGGGAGAGACGATTTTGTCCTACAGGACTGTCCCGTGTTGCAGGAATCTCTGATTCTGCTGATTAAATGCCACGTCTGTGTGCCTTCCCATGTGTAAAGCCCTTGCACATTTCCAGAATCTTCTGGTTCAGAACATTTGGCCTCTTGGGAAACAGAGCCAGCAGGCAGTTCCATCCCAGCACTGGGGGAGAGTGCATGGTCCATGTGTTGTGGGCTAAGTGTCCCCTGGCTGGGGTCTCCCAGAGGCCTCAGGCAGCTGTGTGTCCTTTCCTTTCCAGGCCACATGACTACTCTGCAGATGGGTTTAATGACTGGGCTTTCATGACAACCCATTCCTGGGATGAGGACCCCTCTGGCGAGTGGGTCCTAGAGATTGAAAACACCAGCGAAGCCAACAACTACGGTATTGGGGGCGCTTGAGGGCTGGGGAACAAGGAGAGCTGACGGGGTCTGGGGTGCCAGGCATGGTCCCAGTGCCCTCTAACTCTTATCCCCCACAATAGGGACGCTGACCAAATTCACCCTCGTGCTGTACGGCACGGCCTCTGAGGGGCTGCCCACACCTCCCGAGAGCATCGGCTGCAAGACCCTCACATCCGGCCAGGCCTGTGTGGGTCAGTCATGGATGCTGTTGGGGTTTGGGGGCCCAAGGCTGAGGGGACAGAGGGTGCCCGTCCTAAAGGAGGAAAAAGGGTGTGAAGAGACCCTGGGGCCCTTGAGATGACCACAGTTCTCGGGCGAGGAGCTCCTGGAGCCGCCAGTGACTGTGCTTGGGGCTGAGGTCCACAAGCTCGTGGCTCGACGGTCAGGGGGAGGTTAACTGACACCCACCCTCTCTCCTGTGCTGGCAGTGTGCGAGGAAGGCTTCTCCCTGCACCAGAAGAACTGTGTCCAGCACTGCCCTCCAGGCTTCGCTCCCCAAGTTCTCGACACACATTATAGCACTGAGAACGACGTGGAGACCATCCGGGCCAGCGTCTGTGCTCCCTGCCACGCCTCGTGTGCCACATGCCAGGGGCCAGCCCCCACAGACTGCCTCAGCTGCCCCAGCCACGCCTCCCTGGACCCTGTGGAGCAGACATGCTCCCGGCAAAGCCAGAGCAGCCGCGAGTCGCCACAGCAGCAGCCACCCCGGCCACCACCCCTGGAGGTGGAAACAGAGCCGCGGCTGCGGGCGGGGCTGCTGCCCTCGCACCTGCCCGAGGTGGTGGCCGGCCTCAGCTGCGCCTTCATCGTGCTGGTCTTCGTCACTGTCTTCCTGGTCCTGCAGCTGCGCTCGGGCTTCAGCTTCCGAGGGGTGAAAGTGTACACCATGGACCGTGGCCTCATCTCCTACAAGGGGCTGCCGCCCGAAGCCTGGCAGGAGGAGTGCCCATCCGACTCAGAAGAGGACGAGGGCCGGGGCGAGAGGACCGCCTTTATCAAAGACCAGAGCGCCCTTTGACGAGCGCCTACTGCCCGCCCCTTCGAGCCCATCCCCTCCTTGGGCACTTTTTAATTCACCAAAGTATTTTTTTATCTTGGGACTGGGTTTGGACCCCAGCTGGGAGGCAAGAGGGGTAGAGGTGGCTTCCCATCTTGGGCCACCTGACTGCCTAGGGTGGGACCCCAGGACCAGCTATGGGGGCAGGGGAGGACCTCTCCCCACTGTTAGCACCCCTCCATGTGGAGAAAGGAGTGAAACCTTTAGGGCAGCTTTCCAAGGTCCAGGCCCTAGCCAGAGGTCCCTGCAGAGTGAAGAGGGGCAGCCCTTCCCTCACAAGATCCCTGACCTGGGCTGCAGCTCTTGCCCCTTCCCTGTCCCTCTAAAGCAATAATGGTCCCCATCCAGGCAGCAGGGAGGCTGGCCTAGTGGGTATTTGAAGCAGGAGGCCACCTCTCCAAGGGCTTTTGCATCCCTGACCCTGTCCCCAACCTCTCTGGTGAGCCTTGGGCGGAAGCAGTGAGTGTAGGAAGGGACCAAGGCAAGGCAGGTACTTCTAGGGTGCGCACATGTGCACATGTATGTCCCTTTGCCCATCTCCACTACAGTTGGCTGCCTGCTGAGCGAGGCTGGCCCGGCCCCATGCTGGTGTCCTGACCACCCTCCCCCTCTCTGGCACCCTCCCCTCCCGCCAGGGCCCAAGTCCCTGTTTTCTGAGCCCGGGGCTACCTGGGCTGTTGGCACTCACAGTCCCGGAGCCCCTGGGTGGGTGGTGGGGAGGGACGGTGGCCCAGCCGGCCTCTCCCGCCTCCCACCCGATGCTGCTTTCCCCTGTGGGGATCTCAGGGGCTGTTTGAGGATATATTTTCACTTTGTGATTATTTCACTTTAGATGCTGGTGGGTTTTTTGTTTTTTGGGGGGTTTTTTTTTTTTTGTATTTTTAATGGGGGTAGCAGCTGGACCATCACCTTCCCACACCCACTGTCCACCCTGCTGTTCCCCCGGCTGTCCTGGCCCTGTGGTGTGGGGGGCTGCAACGTGTTGCTGAGTGAGGAGTAGGTGAGCCCCACATCCTGAGGCAGGCCAGGCCAGGCGGGCCCCAGGAAAGGAAGATCATGGTGGGAGGGGCAGGCTGTCATCCGTTTCAGATGGGGCTCGTAGTGCCAAGGGCTCATGGGTCACTGGTTCTCCAAATGCCAGGGGTGAGCAGGCGGTGGTGTTGAGCCCCCTCTAACACTGTGCCCTGGTGGAGAAAGCACTGACCCATCCTGCCCCCCAAGTCCCTCTCTTCTGACGTGCCTTTCACACCCCTCCCGTTAGGACAATCAGTCCCTTCCCATTTGGGAGCCCCCTTTTCTTTCTCTCCCCCAGCCCCTCTTGGCACCCAGCCACCTGCCCAGGGGTGCCCCCTCCTCTCCTATCCCCCCTACCCTTGTGGCCAGCCCAGCTGGTTTTGTAGGATACTGGGTTGGTGCACAGTGATTTTTTTTTTCCCTTGTAATTTAAACAGGCCCAGCATTGTTGGTTCTATTTAATGGACACGAGATAATGTTAGAGGTTTTAAAGTGATTAAACGTGCAGACTATGCAAACCAGGCCTGGTCTCCAGTGTGATGATAACTGTTCTTCCCAGAATCCTGGGGCTGCATCTGGGATGGGATGGGGTGGGGGTAGGGGTTGGGGGCAAGTTACATGCCCACATGATGTCCTGCCTGCCTCTAGGTGCCCAAAGTCCATCTCCTGAGGGGTTTAGGGCCTCCTTCAGGTGAGATGTGGAAGGAGACAGCAGCTGGAAACAAGTCCTGGGGTGGGACAAGTGAACCCCAAGGGTGGGACTAGCTAAGCACTTCCACCCCCACAGGCCTGGACTCCAGAGGGGTGGAGAGTAATGGCCTGTGTCCAGTTGCTCAGGGCCTCCCTTGGCTGAAGTGGCCCAGCCACCAGCTATAAGGTTGAGGCCTTTAGTGGGGCCTAACTGAAGCAAGATGACTTTTGCTGGGGAAAGCCTGAGTCCCACTCTCAAAATGCCACACTTCTCCAATCCCCGGCTCAGGCCCCTGCCTGTCCCAGGTTTCCCTTGGGACCAGAAGCCCCTGCCTGGCAGTAAGGGAATGGTGCCAGTTCCACCAGGATCTGTGCCTGAGAAGCAGGCCTCTCTGGGATATTTACTTGGAAATTTTATTCAAATGGAGACTGGCGCCTGAGCTCTCCTTGGGGAATCCAGTGGGTGGGGAAGCCCTGGACTAGGCTTCCCCCTTCCTCTTCTGGGACAGCCCTGGCCTGCTGCTAGGACTGCCCGCCTGCCCCCAGGCTCTGGACCCCAGGCTTCTGGGCCCAGTGCAAACCTGCAGCCCCGCCCTGTGCCAGGCGCCGACCGCGCACCCGCACCCGTGGGCCCCTTCCCTGTGTTCTCGGGCGCTGTCCGGGCCCTGGGGAGTGCTGGGCGCAGGCTGCTCTCTTCTGGGCCATTCTTTCCTGGCCCCCTCCTCCCTTCCGTTTCCGCGGCTGGCCATAAGGCCGGCTGGAGGCAGCAGGCCGGCGCTGGGCAGGGGGGCGGACAGGCGTCAGGGGCTCCCGCCCGCCCCTTCCCCTCTGCCGGCCCGCCCCGGGGCCTGGGCCAACTGAAACCACAGGAGGAGGAAGCGCGGAATCAGGAACTGGCCGGGCGGTGCAGGGCCTGAGTCTGAGTCTGTCCTCGGTGGCCCCAGGAACAGCTGCGGGTGACTCCTGCCCCGAGGCCCAGGAGGCCCGTGGTAGGAGCAGGGGGCAGCGGGCAGGGGGGCTGGGCAGGCAGTCTTGAGAGTCGGACACGGGCCTGGTGGGGCAGGGTCCGCGGAAGGGCAAGGGCGGTTGTGTTGGCGGGGCTGTGGCTGCCGGGGGCGCCAGCAGGGGCGGGCTTGGCCCTGCCAAGGGCCCTCTGCGCACTGTGCCCCTGCCGTGGGTGCTGGGTGCTGGGTGGAAGGGCCCAGGGAGGAAGGCTCTGGGAGGTTTCTGTTCCAGGGCTGGGAAGGGGACTCCTGGTAACAGGGACGCAGGAAACAATGAGGGCCTTCCCAGGCCAGGCTGCATTTTGTACCTATGGCTATATTTCAACAGGACAGGACCCCAACTCCTGCCTGTCTGTAGCTCCTCATGGCTCCTCTTGGACCAAAAGCCCCTCGCCTCCCTGTCCCACCGCTCCATTTCCAACTACTGCTTTGCCCCCAGTGGTGGCCTCTCCTCTCTCTCTCTCCAGGACGACACTATGGGCTTTTCTTCAGCGCTGTGCAGCCCGCAGGGCCACGGGGCAGTGCAGCAGATGCAGGAGGCTGAGCTTCGGCTCCTGGAGGGCATGAGGAAGTGGATGGCCCAGCGCGTCAAGAGTGACAGGGAATATGCAGGGCTCCTGCACCACATGTCACTACAGGACAGTGGGGGCCAGAGCCGAGGCATCAGCTTCCATAGCCCCATCAGCCAGGTGGGATTCTACGGACCCTAGACCTCCTCACCTTCTTCCCACCCTTGACCAAAGAGTTCCTCTGTGTGCTGGGCATGGGTATATCCGCCTGCCCCTTCCTTTCCCAGAGCCCACTGGGGAGGGTTGGAGATTTGGCAGGCCCAGGCTTGAAAGCCATCATCGCCCATTCCCCATCTCACCCGTCTCGTGTGTGCTGTAGTCGTGGGCAGAGATCACCAGCCAGACGGAGGGCCTGAGCCGGGTGCTGAGGCAGCACGCGGAAGATCTGAACTCAGGGCCCCTGAGCAAGCTGAGCCTGCTGATCCGGGAGCGGCAGCAGCTGCGCAAGACCTACAGCGAGCAGTGGCAGCAGCTGCAGCAGGAACTCACCAAGGTGGGTGGGTGGCACTGGGGTTTCACCTGGTCATTTCTGCCTACTTTTTGAGACTAAACGCACTGGTTTTGCACAAGAGCCCCTGGATTCTCTGGGGAAGTGGAAGTATCTGACCACAGGCCTGACCCAAGGCCTACTCCTGCCGCAGCTTCCTTCCCGCCTCCTCCCCCACCTCAGGCTGGCCTTTCTGTGCATCTTCTGTCTCCTAACTGTGTGCCTGCGCTCAGTGCTGGGAGTACAAGGATGAGTGATCCAGCCATCGCCTGGGAGGAATGCAGGGTCTGTGACCCACCTCCCGCATTGCACCCGCTGGGGTCTGAGAGATAGTGAGAGGAATGAGGGCTATTCTGCCTGCCCTTAGTCCAGGTTGGCTCCTCCCAGGGCCCTAGAGACACCATAAGGCAGCAGCACGGCCCTCTGATTCAGATGTTAAGGACCAGGGCTGCGAAGTGGACCTGCTTGCATTTGAATCCTTCCCAGCTTCTCAGTCTAGAGACGGTGTGATTGGAGCTATTTATGTGGCTGTTTTAGCCTCCTTATTCGATGTGCTGGGCTGCTGCCTGCACCACACCCCTTCTACCAGCCCCAAACGTAGCCTTTCCACGGACCCACAGCGGCCCCTGGTGGCCAGTCTTGACCCCTTCCACTCTCTCCTCAGAAGATCATGTAATTCAGGGGGTCTGCTTGTTTTTGTAGGCAGTTACTGGAACACAGCCTTGCCCGTATATGTTCATATTATCCATGGTTACTAAAGAGCTACAATGGCAGAGCTGAATAGTTTCAACAGAGACTGCATGGCCTACAAGCCTAAAATGTTTACCATCTGGCCCTAAAGAAAAAGGCTGATCTAGTCTATGCATTTAGCTCAGCTACAGATGGAGAAGCTGAGGTTCAGAGGAGAGGAGTGGAGCTTGCCCAAAGTATGCCAGTGCATAAACAGGGACCTGGGATGAGAACTCTGGTGTTAACCATCTATGGTTCCTGCCACCAGGAACGGAATTTGCGGGACTCAGCGCAAAATGAAAATGTGGGGCCCCTTGTTATAAAATTAAGAATTTCAAGATGGAACCAATAGAGCATTAAACCAATCGCAGAGCCCTTCTGAGTGTGGAGTTATGTGCCACAACTGCACAGGCTGCACACACACCTGCCACCAGATACTACTCTAGGCCAAGGAGGGACAGTTGTAGCCTGCCCAGTCCACCTCTCTGCCTCCCTCAGGGACCTGCCCTTAACCCAGCTCCTCTGACCTTAACCTCAACAGCAGAGGCTAGATCCCAGAGGTCTCCAGGCTCTAGTTGAAGGATGGACCTGGATGTGCTGCCTGCCTGGACTGCAGGACCTGTTTAGGGCTTCACCTTGAGCAGGAATCTCTCATGCCCTGGGGACCTACTGTCCCACTTGGTTTCTTCTCTCTCTCCAGACCCACAGCCAGGACATTGAGAAGCTGAAGAACCAGTACCGAGCCCTGGCACGGGACAGCGCCCAGGCTAGGCGCAAGTACCAGGAGGCCAGCAAAGGTCTGGGGCTGCCCTCCCTCCCTGGCAGGGCGGGAATCCCAAGCCAGCTCAGACCAGTCCCCAGGTACTCAGGGAGGGGACGCTGCCTAGGCCTCTGTGCTGTCACCCACACCCCCTTGCCCCCACCTGTCAGACAAGGACCGTGACAAGGCCAAGGACAAGTATGTTCGCAGCCTATGGAAGCTCTTCGCTCACCATAACCGCTACGTGCTGGGCGTGCGGGCCGCACAGCTGCACCACCAGCACCACCACCAGCTCATGCTGCCTGGCCTGCTCCAGTCCCTGCAGGACCTGCACCAGGAGATGGCCTGCATCCTGTAAGCCCACAGCCCTGCCCCACCCCACCCTCATCACAGCCCTGAAGCCCTGCCCCCGTGCCCAGAGGCAGGGTCCAGAAAACCCAGCCCTGTCAAAGTGACAGTCACATAATCAGGTGCCAGTCTACTTACATCCAAATTACATCATTCCAGGGCCGTTACTGCAGGGGTTTATTGTATTTATTGAACACTGTTCTAGCCTCTGTGATACAGCAGGGAATGTAGACAAAAATATCTGCCCTTTAGACTGTTCATTTGTGAAGAAAGAAAAGGAAATCGATACAATACAGGTGATAGGTGCTATGGAAAAAATAAAACAAGGAAAGAGAATGAGGAGACGGGGGACAGGGCAGGAGGTTACTGTTTGAAATGGAGTGGTCTAGAAAAGCCTCACAAGTATGGGAGTGGGCCAGGGGGATATTTGGAAAAAGGCCATTCCAGGAAAAGGGACCAGCAGGCTCACAGGCCCCAACGTGGGACAGTGCCTGAAATCCAGGAACAACAAGGAAGCCAGTGTAGCCTATGCAGAGTGAGGGAAGGGCAGAGTCAGACACAAGGCTGGAGGAGTCCAGGGAAGACGGAGGAGTCCAGGGAAGACAGAGGGTCCAGCAGGACTTGGGCTCTGTGTGGACCAGAAGAGCGACGTGATCTGAACTGTCTTAAGTATGGCTGCTGTGCTGAGAATAGACGTCAGGAGGCAAGGAGAGGACTGGGGAGACCAGACAAAAGCTACTGGAGTGATCCAGACCACAGACCACGGCCACTGGATAGGGCGGTAACAACGGAGGGCAGAAGTGGTCAGGTCCTGGGTGTACTTTGAAGGCAGAGCCAGTGGAGTTTCCTCATGGATTGGAAGCAGGGTGTGAAATAGAGCAGTCAAGGATAACTCCAGGAATTTGGCCCAGAGCACCGGGAGATGGTGTCTCTGTG